TGGGCAACCTGTGCCAGGGCCTCCCCACCCTCACAGGGAGGAATTCCTTCCCAATATCCCATCTATCCCTGCCCTCTGGCAGTGGGAAGCCACTGTCCCTTGTCCTGTCCCTCCACCCCTTGTCCCAAGTCCCTCTCCAGCTCTCCTGGAGCCCCTTTAGGCACTGGAAGGGGCTCTAAGTTCTCCCTGGAGCCTTCTCTTCTCCAAGCCAAAATTTAATGACAAATTATCTTTCCAAGTATGTGCTGTTTCCAGATTTAGGAATGTAAGTCTGGTTCCAAGGAAGCCCAAGTAGTCCAGGAATGAGTCTTACCTCCCTGCTGCAAACTGCCAAGGATCTTCTCTCCCAGCAAGTGAATAAGTCGAGTCACAACCTGGCGATGGGAGAGAGAGAGAAAATAAAAATAAACAAACATTCAGGCAGAATGTACTGAAATAGAGCATCCACACACCCAGACTTCCAAACTTTAAGATGCTCTCTCAAGTTGAACCTCACAGAGACAAGGGTTTAGAGCCATAACTTCTTTCCTGGCTGTAACAGCCAGTGACTGATCATTTGTCTTGATTTCTTTTACCCTATTTTACTTTAATTTGGAAAAACAAGAAAACAAAACAACCCCACAAAAGGCAATGTTTAACTTGCTTTAGAAACAAAAGAGGAAAATCTGATTATTTGGGGAAACATGTCCAATTGCATCTCAGGTTCTCCTCATTTCTCTCTGCAGGGCACCTGCACCTCTCAGTCACTCTCACCCCTCAGAGGCTGTTGTGCCCCTACACCTTTTGTAGGTGCTAAAGGCTCCAAAAGGTTCAAACCTGTGCTCCAACAGATCCCCCCAGGTTCCATCTGACCTCCAGTGAATGGTTTACAGTAACCAATTTAAAACATATGGGAAAAAAAGCGATAAATGCACTCCCTAAACATCTGCAGAATCGGAACAAGCTGCCTAAGAAATTGTTTTCCTCCTCGAATTATGTTTGCCTTGTACCTTTGAAGGGACAGATGTTTTCCCAGCTGTTTTGCCAAAGGACTTACATCAATATAAACCAATATTCCAATAGCCAAGTGTATCTCCAAACTGTCAAGCCTCTCTCCAGCATGAACAATCAATAATTCCTGACAAGTGGGGTAGCAGAAGACTAATCATTGCAATAGCAAGAACTGACAGACCTGGAAATGCAGCATTTATTCTGAAAGCTCTACACAGATGTTCTACCAAATAATAAAGAGAGTTATTTAAATATATTAAGAATAGGGCAATCATTAGATACTCTCCCCCAGACAAATAATTCAAGGTTAAAATAACTCAGGAGGACATAAAAAAACCCCCCCAAAACTATCAGAACAAAATTTCCCCAAATTCTTAACAAGAGAAACAAGCAGCAGCACATGGAACCTGGGATCCTGGCACTGACAGACACACTGTTCCCACAGGAACAGGCACTTCAGGAGGCATCTTTCACAGAGAGGGCCATGTAGGCATCAAGACAGGTCAGCCTGTCCATCAGAACCATTTATATGACCTGCTTTAAGAAACAAAATCTACAGCAATAAACTGCCCTGACCTATGAAACTCTGGACACGAAGCACCAATATATTTTAAGTGCCAGTTCACTAAGGAAAAAGAACAAACAGGAGCCTTCCAACACAGGGTGAGCACAGAGTAAGAGCTAAACAAGGTTATTTCAGGGATTTCATAGAATGGCTGGGGCTGAGGGGACCTTTAAAGCCCATCTAGTCCAACCCCTGTGCAGTGAGCAGAGACATCTTCACCTGGATCAGGTTGCTCAGAGCCCCGTCCAACCTGGCCTTGAACGTTTTCAAGGATGGGGCATCCACAACTTCTCTGGGCGACGTGTGCCCGTTCTGTCCCATAACTGCAAGCTCCTGGAGATGCCACGTGAACAATCTCTTCAGTGACCCAATTTAAACTTCTTTAGAGCCCCTCTTACTTGCCCCAAGAGCAGACACACAGTGTCCACAGCAGCTGCACCAAGAGCGCCGATGCAGCTCAAGCCGCTGCCACCGCCGAGGGATGTTGGAATGACGGTGGCTCCTGATGGCAGACAAGCTCTCAGCCTCCTCCTTCCTCATCCTGGGATCTCAGACAGGATATAAAACACTTTCATTTGTCCAGAATATAACAGAAGCTGACAATCACCCAACCACACGACTCGTTACCACTCCAACACCTCCAAGATCTGTGGTTCTGGGATTCACTGAACGGCGCTGGTGGAGCTACAGAAAACTGCCCCAGTTGTGGGGAGTGGGGAGGAAATGAGGGAATCCCTAATAGAAATGAGACTGACTGTCCTTCCTAAGGGACATGACCTGCCTCAAACACCTTCACTACACCCAGCTCACATGCATTCACCCAAACCTGCCCCAGCCCAGCAGGACCTTCCCTCAGCAGTTTTGGGAGGTGCTATGAACATTTTACACTTCTGAAGCACTTCAGTGTCAGAATTTTAATTGCTTACTAAAACCATCTCCTGTATTTATAACTTTTTCTGCTTTACAGGCAGCTAAGGAGAGCTCCAGCTAAGTTACAAAATATGTCCAAGGTTAATGATGGAACTAAGAATAGAACCTATTGGTCTCATTTTCCAGTTGGCTGCTCCTATTACCAGGAAATATTATTTGTCTTGTTTGCTGGAGCAAACCTTACAGCCTTGGGATGTATAGATAGGGAAAATTATTTCCCTGGTGACTTTGTACAACAAGAAAGCTGCAAACCATAATGGGATGAGTCACTGTCGCAGTCATGGCAACGTCGCAGGAACATCAGTTTGGGATCGGAGCTAAGAACTGGCCTGAAATTTCCACGGGGTTTTATATCACAGACACCAGACATCCTGCCACAAAAAGGCAGTGTTTTCTTTTAAAAGAGACTTGTCCATCCATCTGAAGGAGAAGTCAGTGTAAATCACATCCCTCCATCGACAGGAGACCCAACCTTCCAGGACTGACCCACAGCCCTCTCTGTGCAGGGCTGCCAAATTCAGGGCAGCCGGGGAGAGCTGCAAACCAACGGGGGGAAAAAATCATCCTTCAGGCTTCCAAGCACCTTTATTCTCCTCCCTCCACCCAGCAGAAGGGCATGAGAAGGAGCAGGACAGCTGGATGATGATGACAAGGAAAGCAAGGGACCTGGGAGAGGAGTGGGATTGTGTGGAGGGGGCTGGGATAGCTTAGGCAGGGAGGAGGAGGAAGCAGGCAGGAATCAGCCCTTGGGTTAGGAGCTCTCTGACAGGGATTGAAGGGAAAGAGTTATTCCAAGTGTGCCTGGAGGAGATGAAGGCAGGAGAATGGCAGGTAACAGGGTGCAGACAGTGCAGACATCTGGGCTGTGATTCAGCCCAGTCCCTCATCCCCACCCTGCCTGTTCAGCTGTATTTCACAGGAAAACTGAGGTGGGGGTCATTCTCTTCTCCCAGGTACGAAGAGGCAGGACAAGAGCAAACAGCCTCAAGTTGCACCAAGGGAGGTTTAGGTTGGATATTAGGAAACATTTCTTCACTGAAAGAGTGGTCAGGCTGCCCAGGGCAGTGGTGGAGCCACCACCCCTGGAAGTGTTCAGAAATCATGTGGATGTGGCCCTTGGGGACATGGGTTAGTGGTGAACATGGTGGTGCTGGGTTGGTGGTTGGACTCGATCTTGGAGGGCTTTTCCAACCTTGACAATGCAATGATTCTGTGGAAGCTCTAGGAATTGGCAGTGAGAGTTTGGGCAGAGGGGGAAGGCAGGAATTCTGGTGGCACAATTATCCCATTCCCACGGCGTCACTGTCACCCGGGGCTGCACAGCCTTCCCAGTCGGAAGCGTCTGCCGTGCTCATCCCTGCGGCACATCCTGGATTTTACAGTCTCTTCTAACATCAACCACCCAGCCCTGCAAACACACCTCCTGCTGGCACAGCACCAGGTGGTTTAAATGTAAGGTTTGAAGAGAAATCTGCACTGCAAGAAGGCAGCGAGTTGGAGCCCAGACTTATGGAAGAACACCAGGAGGTTTCTAAATTAGGAAAGGATCATTAATTGCCTGCAAAGTGAATGCAAGTTTTGGACTCCTCGTGCTATGGATAGAGCTGAGCTTGGTTTAGTTTGGGAGAAAGTTGAATTAATCCTTCCTCATGACTAGGAGGTGCACTAGCATCAGTTAATCAGAGTTAATCACTGCAACCGATAACGAGCAGTGGAGCCACTGATCAGACACTTCTGCTGTCAGGCCAGGTGTGCACAGAGCCCTAAAACTGAGGTTCCCACCCAGTGCTCCAGGCTCAAGCTGGGAAAAGACTCAAGGAAGGTCACAGGGGCTTTGCCAGCACCTAAATATTCACTACAGGGGCTCACGGTGCAAGTCAGGACTCTGGAGCCTGGGCTGGGAAGATGCCTGAGTGAACTATCAAAAATACCCCCAAAGCAGACAAAATCCCACTCTCCTGAGCTTATGCAAGAGAGTTTTCAGGCCAGAAGGAAAAAATCTGACCTTACAAGTCTAAAACATTGAGTAAATCTCCATCTCAAGAGCTACTTGGGGCTCCAGTGCATCAGTTCTGTTCCACAAAAGCCCCCAAACCCCTCCTGCTCTCCTGGACACCACTGCAACTGCGAATCCATCCCCCTGGCCCAGAGCAGGATGTTGAGATACACATTTTGCAAGGGAAATAAACCATTCCTCCTCCTCCTGCCACCCACTCCCCTTTTCAGATTAACTCCCAGAACACTTTTGTGCAGGGCACAACAGGATAAAGCATTTTCCTGTTTCTCAGATGGTGTTGGAGAGCACTTTCCTCAGCACAATTCCACCTTTCTGACCCGGCTTACCACTCTCCACTTCATCTACCTTAGAAACACATTGTTTTCCTGGCTGCTTCTCAATCAACTCCATCCCAGTAAGACCCACTCAGGCTCTCTCACCATCCCAACGCTCCCTCCTATTGACCATGACAGTCTGTTCCTGCAGCTGCTACAGAGCAGGCTCCGGGAAACCATTAATTTCCCCTCTGCTTAACTAATGTCCATGGAATCATAGAATTATAGAATCAGCCAGGTTGGAAAGGACCTCTGAGATCATCAAGTGATGATCCAACCCCGCCGTGGTTCCCAGCCCATGGCACTGATGCCACATCCAGTCTCACCTTAAACACCTCCAGGGATGGAGAATCCACCCCCTCCCTGGGCAGCCCATTCCAATGGTTGATCACTTTCTGTAAAAAATTTCTTCCCAATATCCAACCTAAACCTCCCCTGGCACAGCTGAAGACCCAGCCCTCTTGTCCTACTGATAGTTGCCTGGGAGAAGAGATCAAACCCCACCTGGCTCCCCCCTCCTGTCAGGGGGTTGCAGAGAGTGAGGAGGTCTCCCCTGAG